TATTTCAAGCGAATGCTATTGATTTTAAATTTTTTCCGCCATATTGGATCCGCCATTTTGAAAGTTAACGCATTAGAGAAAATATAAGATATAGATACGAAATTGAGCGCAAAGAAATACGTTAAGAAACGTTCTTACTTTTCCGTTAAAAAATATTATTTTCAATTTAAAAATAATTTTAAAAAATAGAAAAATATTAATTTCAAAATGTTCAAATATCATTTCCAAATAAATATAGTTCTATGAAAACGAATGTCGAATTATATTATTGCTATTTGCCTTGAATAATTATATTATAATCTGTCGACAAATTATTACAACTGTACAATAAAGCCGCACTTGTTTAATTTATTAATAATGTATGAAATATAACTGTAAAGTAGATAATTATTTAAATATTGCGTAACATAAAATTATATGTATTAATATAGAGACATTATTTTATGTTTGCATGAAATATAATTGACATTAACCTTCAAAAATAATTTTAAAAAAACTCAATTGCGGCACACTATATATTTGCTTATTTCAATACATGGGTGATTCTCTCAAAAAGGACAAATTACGCTTTTAAGATATTTTGTTAAAAAATATGAAAATTAATAGAAATTATTTAAAATTCTGTCAGCCATGCGTTAGGATTTAACAATTTTCAATCGGACCACTAAAGAAAATTTTAGAAAAAGGTAAAATAACTGAAATATTGAATAAAAACTGATGTTACGGAATGGAGTTACGGAATGGAGTTTTAACACTAGTTTTCATTCAATAATTCAGTTGTTTGCCATTTTCTTGAAATTTTCTTTAGTGATCCCATAAAAATTTGTTGAATTTTATCGTATGGCTGGGAGAATGTTTATTAATTGAAATTAATGTTATTATTTTTTAACAAAAACCTCGTCCAAAATTGTGCACAAATAACACCGGCACACAAAAAAAAAAAAATTTCGAGTGCGAAGACCGCCACATGGTAGGTTCTCTTCCTTAAGATGTATCTAAAGAGAAAATCCTAGTCCGACCTCGAGTTTGGTTCTTGTTTCATTTTTACAGGCCTGGTGGGGGGGTGTAGTTTGAGAAATTAACATACATGGGAATTTAATTTCTTTTATCAACTGAAAGTGAATGTTTGCTTATTCTAACTGTGGATTTTGATTCAGTGGCTCTAATTACATGAAAATTTAATAAATACACAAATTTAAAAATGGCGGATCCAATATGGCGGACCTAAAATGGTGGATTTTTGGAAAATTTGTTTGGATTTCCTTGAAACTTGTTACTAGGGGGTTTTTGGGGTCGCTAATTACGAATTTGATGTTAGTTTTTCAAAATTCAAAATGGCGGATCTAATATGGTGGATTTTTGAAAAATTTGTTTGGATTTTCTTGAAACTTGTTGCTAGGGGGTTTTTGGGGTCGCTGAGTACGAATTTGATGTTAGTTTTTCAAAATTCAAAATGGCGGATCTAATATGGCTGAAAATTTTCGAAAAATTGTTTGGTTTTTGTAAAAAATTGCTATTTTGGGCTGTTTAGGTTGCTGAATAAGATTCTGACACTTCTTTTTTTTAAATTTTGGAATAGTGAATTTAATGTGGCTGACAATTAAAATTTTTTTATTTTCTCGATCGTTTACCCTGAATCTGAATTCACCAAAATTTAGTAATGGCTTCATACTGAGGTATCCCTCCTCTGCATCGTAATCTTCTTATCTACTTTTGCCATGAAGGCATATTTTAAACATAGAAACTTAGCCAAAAATTCGTTGCCCGCCTTCACCACGGGGAGGTGTCCTAGTCGCGAAAATAGAAAAAATAGAAATTAAATCGGAGAAATATTATTTATAAGACAACTAACTTGAGGTTGTATTTTTACAGATATGCAGTTATCTTTTGACAACTTTTACATCAAGCAATTACTAAATTTTGGTGAATTCAGATTCAGGGTAAACGATCGAGAAAATAAAAAAATTTTAATTGTCAGCCACATTAAATTCACTATTGCAAAATTTAAAAAATAGAAGTGTCAGAATCTTATTTAGCAACCTAAACAGCCCAAAATGGCAATTTTTTACAAAAACCAAACAATTTTTCGAAAATTTTCAGCCATATTAGATCCGCCATTTTGAATTTTGAAAAACTAACATCAAATTCGTAATCAGTGACCCCAAAAACCCCCTAGTAACAAGTTTCAAGAAAATCCAAACAAATTTTTCAAAAATCCACCATTTTAGGTCCGCCATATTAGATCCGCCATTTTGAATTTTGAAAAACTAACATCAAATTCGTAATCAGCGACCCCAAAAACCCCCTAGTAACAAGTTTCAAGGAAATCCAAACAAATTTTCCAAAAATCCACCATTTTAGGTCCGCCATATTGGATCCGCCATTTTTAAATTTGTGTATTTATTAAATTTTCATGTAATTAGAGCCACTGAATCAAAATCCACAGTTAGAATAAGCAAACATTCACTTTCAGTTGATAAAAGAAATTAAATTCCCATGTATGTTAATTTCTCAAACTACACCCCCCCACCAGGCCTGTAAAAATGAAACAAGAACCAAACTCGAGGTCGGACTAGGATTTTCTCTTTAGATACATCTTAAGGAAGAGAACCTACCATGTGGCGGTCTTCGCACTCGAAATTTTTTTTTTTGTGTGCCGGTGTAATTTGTTCTTTTTGAGAGAATCACCCACATATATATTTTATCAATAAATTTTATTTATAGAAATTTTTTTCGTGAGCAATTTTTTTTTAGAAAATTAATAAAAAGTGAATCGGGAGTTTTTGGTATCGCCTATGCGACTAAAAATTTCATAAGAGGTTTTAAAAATTCAAAATGATGAATCCTTAACATAGCAGACATAAATTTTGTAAAAATTAATCGAATTCACTTAAAAGTTAAAACACATTCCTCGAGGGTTTTTGTTTACAAATCTGCAATTAGTTTTAAAATTCGATAAAATAAAAAAAAAAATTTCATCATATTGAATCGAACATTTTGAATTTTTTAAAACTGACTTCAAATTCGTAATCATCGACCCTAAAAAAACCCCCGAGTAACGAGTTTCAAGTGAATACGATTAATTTTAACAAAAATTTGTACGCCACATTGGTTCTGCCATTCTGAATTTTTAAAAACTGACTTCAGATTCGTAATCATCGAACCCAAAAACCCCCGACTAACAAGTTTCAGGTAAAGTAGATCAATTTTTCACAAAGTCGCCCGCCATATTTGATCCGTCATTTTGAATTTTTTAAATCCGACTTTAGATTCATAATCGGCAGCCAAAAATATTAATTAATATTATTGGGTCATCATACATCCCACTTGGAAAGATTCCCCGGAAAGTGACCCCCGGAGGTTCTATCAGAATTCCACCGGAACTTCCAACATAACTCCTTTGGAATTCCATCGGAGTTCCAAAGAATTTCCGATGGGATTCCGACGGAGTTCCGACGGAATTAGAACTCTAAAAATTTTGAAAAAAATTAATCGGAATTCCGTCGGAATCTCATCGGAAATTCTTTGGAACTCCGATGGAATTCCGACGGAATTATGTTGGAAGTTCCGGCGGAATTCTGATAGAACCTCCAGGGGGCACTTTCTGTGGAATCTTTCCAAGTAGGATAACCATTTAAGATTAAAAAAAACTTTCAGACTTCGAGGTACAAAAATTTCGACTTTTTCTACTCCCGCGTGTATTTTTAAACCACTAATGATGATTCGCGACTTAGTTTTAAGCAAGGTTAGATAATTTAGAACATCAGTTAGGCAGTGCGTATTTCAGTGACAAGTAACTGCTCTCCCTTTCTCTCTCTCTCTCTTTCAACGAGACGTGTCCCATGATATTTCACCACTGAGACACATAATAATATAGACACGAGCGAGCGCATCCGAAAGAGCACGTCAGAGTGAATTAGGCACGCCCCAGTGGATTTGACATGCCACCAGCTCAAAGCCGAATGATGATCGGCACGGTAGCATTTGTCCTTGTGTATGTATGTATATATGTGTGTTATAATCTCGATGGGCATCTATTCAGTTGGTCTTCAGACATCATATATATACTCTCATATTCATATGTACATATATGCATCTATCAAAGAGAGTGTATTGTATTGGGCAACAGTGGAACTTAAGAATATCTATGTAAACATCAACCGACTGAGGCTATTCTTGAATCTTGATACTCGATCGATCATCTTATCCTTTATCGATATATCATATTTCCAACAATTTTTTTGCTACTATATTTTATTTTTCGATTTACTTCATTTTCAGTTGGTCGCATTTATTTGTTTATTTATTATTTATAAAGGAGATTCTACAATAAACTTTTTTTTGAATGAGCCCGTTTTCACCGAGTAGATAAATTTAATCTTTTGAGTGGTTAAATTTTAAAATACTTTTTTTTGTCAAAACACGAACACTTTTTACAAAATCGGACAAAATACCGCAAGGATTCTTATCTTATAAATTTTCTAAATCCAAAAGATTGTGCGAATCCATACAAAAACGCGAATGCAAAACAAAAAGTAGGAAATAGTAATAAAATGATAGGTTCATTACGTCCTGCCGCCGTCAGATGGCAGAAGCGTGCAGGGAGCACAAGGTCGCAACTGTTATTATATATTATTTTCATACTGTTTGTTTTGCAATCGCGTTTTTTTTATGGATTCGCAATTTTTTAGTCAATTAATACGTTTTTAACGAGAAATTGTTAGTAATATCGATTTGATAAAATTTTAATTGTAGGTTTGAATTATAAATATATAAATAGTATAACGATAAAGAATGTTCCATAATCATGCAAAATGTTGTTATTGTATAATTTCCACTTAATTCAATATGTACATTTTCAGAAACGACGTTGTAAATAAATGATTATGAGAATTTTTTATTCTCTCTAAATAGAAAACCACTAAATAAATGTTAAATTTTATTTTATTTTTTTTAAATTTTTATTTCTTGCCATCCTTGAGAATAGTTAAAATTTTATTTAAGTTGATAAATTTTCATTATTAACAATTGTCACTAATTTGTTGTATATTGAAATAAGATTACATCAAATTTTTTTTTTCTATATCCATTTGTATAAATATATAACTTTTTATAATTTTGTTTATCGTTAACAATTATTACACGTGGTAGTAGTGTGTATATAAATAACGGATTCAATTTTTAAATTTTAGTTTATTATATTGCTGTTATTGAAGCTCAACGAGGTAAGATCAATTTAGTATTATTTTTTTCTTTGTATAATTTTTTTGATGAAAATAATTTAATTCACTTACTAATAATTTCAACTAATTTAATTATATTAAAAAAAAAAAATACAAATTTTTAATTTTGTAAATACTTTGAAAATTTTACTTCTTAATTTCAGGTGACAAAGTCAAATTAAATATAATGGCAATTGTATTGCACTATTTTCTGGGATTTATTTTAATTGTTGAAGTTTTAACAACTAATAGTTGTCTTCAATTAACTTACAGTCTTTCTGAAGAAAATTTGCACTGTGGAAACTTTATAATAAATCGCATTACATCATCTGATGAGGATAATTGGGGAGTAATATGTATAAATGGTGAAGATTTGTCAAATTTTAACTATAGACTTCCATTTAAACAAATGACTGATAAATATTATCGTCAATTTACAACTTTGACAAATTGCAGCATTCGAGACACAGAAAACTTTAATGATATTTCAATGACGTTTAACATACGTTCACATTTGAAATTAAGAGATACAAAAGTGATTCTAGAAGATTTATTTAAAGAACTAACATATTTAGAGATTCTCGATCTCAATAAGAATAATTTACAGTCAATTGATAATCCAATTTTCTTTAATCTTGTCAATTTGGTAAATTTGACTTTAAGTGAAAATCAAATAAAAGAAATATCAAGGGATTCCTTCTGTTCATTGTCATATTTAAAAACACTTGATATTAGTTATAATAGATTGACTTATTTAAATAGTGAAATTTTCAAAACTCTCCATTATCTCGAAAATTTAATTCTAAATAATAATAATTTACAAGAAATACCCAAAAATTTACTCAATGAATTATCATTTTTAAAAAATCTTCAACTTCATCACAATAATATACAATCATTAGATAGAACAACATTTCAAAATCTTAGTTTCGTTGAAAATCTAGATTTAAGTTGCAATAAAATTAATGAAATTCCACGGGATTTATTTAAAGATATGACAAATTTAGAAGAACTTAATCTTAGTTATAATAATTTGACATCATTGGACGAGACAATATTTCAAAATCAAAATTATTTAAAACATTTAAATTTGGCTTACAATGGCTTAAAAGAAATTCCCAAGAATGTATTTGAAAATTTAACCTTTTTGGAAACATTAGATCTTAGTCACAATAATTTGACAACATTGGATGAGAAAATTTTTCAAAATTTACATTTACTAAAACATTTACGTCTAAGTTACAATCAAATTGGAGAGAGTTCTGTAAATTTATTTAAAAATTTAGAAAATTTAGAAATACTTGAAATTTGCATTAATAATGGAATAATTTTTGATAGAAATACATTTCAGTATTTATCAAAATTAAAAGAATTGCGTCTAAGTACCGATCAATTGAAAAAAATGCCAATAAGATTACATAATGATGTGGAAAAAAAAGTACAAATATTAATTGAACTTAAAAATAATTATTAGTAATTGCAAAATAAAATAATTTAATTATTATACAATTGTAATCTAATTATTTACGTCTGAAAATGTGTCCAAAATTTTCCTTTGTAGAAATTTATTTCAATTTTTATTTAATTAATTTAAAAAAAGAATTTTACTTGCTTTAATCCAAATAGCACGTAAGCTTGCAGCAACCTTGCGGCAAGCGTCAAATGTCTCACCTAACCCAAGCTTACATGGTAAGATTACTGCAAGATTGCAATGTAAGGTTACTGCAACATTGCACAATAAGATTATCGCAATATTGCTCAGTTAGCTTGCACGGTAAGCTTGTCGCAAGGTTGGTGCAAGGTTGCTAAATAACCTTGCTTTGAACCTAAAATTTTTTTTAATGTTTCGTCTAATTTATATAATAAAATTATATAAATTAGACGAAATAGTAAAAGAAAAAATTTTTTAGGTTCAATGCAAAGTTATTTGGCAACTTTGCACCAACCTTGCTACAACCTTACCATGCAAGCTTACTGAGGAATCTTGCAATAATCTTATTGTGCAATCATGCAGTAACCTTATATTGCAATCTTTCGGTAAGCTTAGCATGCAAATTTGGGTCAGGTGGGACATTTGATGCTTGTAGCAATTTTGCCGTGTAAGGTTGGCAATATTGAGCGTCAAGCTTGCCGCAAGGTTGCTGCAAGCTTACGTACTATATGGGAAGCTACAACCTACAAATTTTTGAAAGTAATAATCTTTCAGATATTAATTAAAATTAATCCCTTGCATAAAAAATACCACTTTTTAAAATTGTAAAAAAAGAAATTGATCCAATGGGTAAAAAGAGTTATGCAAACATTTGAATATTGAAAATTTTACTCCAGGACATTACAAAATATTTTTTGTCAAATTAATGAAGCCTAAAAAAAAGGAAGGGTTTTTTTCAAGAAATATTAAATGATTTTAATAAATTTGGTTCAAAAGAACTACGCGAATAATTAAATTTTAAAAAATTATCATTTTAAAATGTTTAAAAAGTGATAATTTTTATATACGACATTAATTTTAAAAATGTTAACTAGTATTTTGGAAGAGTTCTAAAAAAAAAACCCAAAAAATATAGCGTTTTTAATTTTCATTATTCATGTTGTAAAGGTGATAGCAAATAAAAAAAAAAAATTTTTTTTAATTTTGAAGAGCTCACAATGAGTCGGTAATTAAAATTAAATATTTTTCAAAAAAAAAAAAATGTTATGTTGAAAAGAACATAAATATTATTATTCTTACATTCCATGTTTTTACTTTTATTATTTTAATTATTTTAATTATTTATAATTTTTCCTTAATCGCTTTTTTGCAGTAAAAATATTTTTTGTTTATTTTTAACATTGAAAAAATATATTCTTTTTTTTTACTTTGTTAATTTTCTAAATAATTTTTTTTTAAATTTATTAGTTTTTAAATATTTTCTTTTTTTTAAATTTACTTATTTAAGCAGAAAAATTTTTTAAATTTCAAAAAATTCTGTGAATATGAGAAAAAAAGTTTTAAAAAAATTGTTTATACAAAATAACAAAATAAAAAATATATTTTTTATTTAATAACTAACAAATTTAAAAAAAGTTTATATATAGAAAATAACAAAGATAAGAAAAACGAAATTTTCAATGTTATAAAAAACAAAAAAAAATTGTTTTTGAATGTAAAAAAAAAATAATTAAAGAAAAAATAAAAAAAATTAAAATAATGAATGTAAAAATATGGAATGTATAAATCAATATTTTTTATTTTTCAATTCAACATTGTTTTAAAACACTTTATGTAGAGTTTTGATACTGACTTTACAATATTTTTAAATAGGGCCTAAAATAGACCAAAATTCTTATGTAGGGTAACTGCACCAGTGGTGGATCAGTTAAGCCCCTTAACTTTCTTATTTTGACTTTTAAGTTCTGTATAGGTTGTTTTTAGACAAATTCGAGGTTATTCTTTATAGTATTATGGACCAGATAGTTCCAATAGACATTTCCTTCAAGGTTAGACTTAATTTTGACACCTACGTTTACTTTAATGCTCCATCAAAGATAATTTGTCAATGATCCTATTCTGGATCACTGTTTGCACCAGTCATGGTTATAGATTGCTCCAGTGGTGGATCACTTAAAAAATCATACTAAAAAACATTGCATTTTAAAATTACGAGACTGAGACGTTTTGCAACTTTTATAAGGCTTTACGGACAGATTTTCAAATTCACTTTCCTATCCATATCCCCTCCTCTTTCATTTCTATAGGTATAATGTGACTAAATATTAATTAATCATCTTTTTATTAGAATTTTTGGTAATAAATAAATAGAAACTCTTAAAGCTTCAGTTTCAATGATAAATAACATTTATTAATTCTGGGTATTTTAATTCAACAAAAATTTAACAATTTGAAATCAGGGGGTCGATTACGTAACTTTCCCACTTCCCACATCTCACTTCCCACATTTTACATCCCACATCTCACTTCCCACATTTTACATCTCACTTCCTACATTTTACATCCCACATCCCACATTTTACATCCCACATCTCACATCTCACTTCTTACATTTTACATCCCACTTCCCACATTTTACATCCCACATCCTACATCTCACTTCCTACATTTTACATCCCACATCCCACATCTCACTTCCCACATTTTACATCCCACATCTCACTTCCTACATTTTACATCCCACTTCTCAATTCCCACATCCCATTTCCCACATCTCACTTCCCACATTTTACATCCCACTTCCCACATCCCACATTTTAAATCCCACATCCCACTTCCTACATTTTACATCCCACTTCCCACATTTTACATCCCACATCTCACTTCCTACATTTTACATCCCACTTCCCACATCTCACATCCCACATTTTACATCCCACTTCTCACTTCCTACATTTTACATCCCACTTCCCACATCTCACATCCCACATTTTACATCCCACTTCTCACATCCCACATTTTACATCCCACATCCCACTTCCTACATTTTACATCCCACATCTCACTTCCTACATTTTACATCCCACTTCCCACATCTCACATCCCACATTTTACATCCCACTTCTCACTTCCTACATTTTACATCCCACATCTCACTTCCTACATTTTACATCCCACTTCTCAATTCCCACATCCCATTTCCCACATCTCACTTCCCACATTTTACATACCACTTCCCACATCCAACATCTTGTGGGAAATGGGAGAGATGTGAGAAGTGGGATATAAAAGGTGGGAAGCGTGATAAGAAAAGTGTAATGTACAATGTAAGATGTGAAGTGTGAAATGTGAGAAGTGGGATGTGAAATGTGGGAAGTGAGATGTGGAATGTGAAATATGGGAAGTGGGATGTGGTATGTGAAATATGGGAAGTGGGAAGTGGATATGAAATATGGGAAGTAATAAGTGAGATGTGAAATATGGGAAGTGGGATATGAAATATGGGAAGTGAGAAGTGAGATGTGAAATATGGGATATGGGAAGTGGGATGTAAAATGTAGGAAGTGAGATGTGGGATTTGGGAAGTGGGATGTAAAATGTGGGATATGGGATGTAAAATGTGGGAAATGAGATGTGGGATGTGGTATGTGGGAAGTGGGAAGTGGGAAAGTTACGTAATCGACCCCCAGGTGTTAACAATTAATAAACATTTGAATTAGTGTTAACTAAAATTTAACTCATAAAATTTTCAATAAAACAATGCGTCAACAGGGGAAAAGTAGGACTGATCCACCACTAGATTTTGTTACTTTTTTGGTTCCAGTCGTGGATCACCCCAAAACAATGGACACGCGCTACTTACAGACGTAAATATTGTTCTCAGGGCTCTATGGGGATGAAACGAAATGCCTCCTATTGTGAAAAGAATTAAAAATTGTCCTAAAATGGCTCCAAAGCTTTCTATTCCAAAATATACTCTTAACTTACATGCTAAGGAAAACTCTTGTTTTCTGTCACCACTTTAGTAATTGTTGTCCTGCTTTCTTCGCGATGAATTTAAAAATTTTTTTAAATTGTAATATTGATCTGTATAATTTTCTTAACAATTACCGACACTTGTGGTTCATTTTCTTACAAACGTGTAAACACAAATGACCATTTTTCTCGCAGTTGATCCACCACTGGTGCATGATCCACCACTGGTGCAGTTACCCTATTTCGTGTTTAGATTTTTAATTTATTAAGGTGCACAATATTAATATTTGGAAAAAAATATAAATTGTATAAATAGTAATACTTTTTTATGCAGTAATAAACATGTAAAAAAATATAAAAACGCAATAATTTTCAATTATTAAAATCATATTTCATGCAATTATTAAATTTAAATTCTTACCTTGAACTTCATTTTCCTCTGCTTGCCCTTTATTTTGATTAAGAGCACGAACGTTGTTTTCCAAATTATGAAATAAACACTCACACGCGATTTTAAGAATTTCGATCACTCCCGAAATTACATTAAATATAGGTATAACTGTTATCGAACGATCGTTAAATAATGTACGAACACTCCCGAAGCTATTCACAAAATTAGGATAGGGTCACGTAAAGTAAATGTAACAGCGCGCACAAGTTTTCCATGTTGTAGAAAAATTGAAATTAAAAAATATTAAATTAAAAAATTAAATTAAAATTATTTTTTTGAAATCAAAATATTAATTTTTATTTTTATTCTAAGTTATTTTTATACTTAACAGATTTGATAAAATTATTTAATATTATTATTTTCATTAGAGTATAAGAATAATGAATTTATTATTATTTCTTTATTTGAAAATATAGTATTGGTTTTTTAATATATAAATTAATATGTACATATTAATCGAAATTCAAAACAAAAAAAATTTTGATAATGAATGTACTATAACCTTTAAATTTAACAGAATTAAAAATTGAATTTAAATTGCATTTTATTGCAACATGGACTTGTATTTTTTTTCGAGGAAAATTTATATATTTATTCACACGACGATTCACTTTAAACTGAATTTAAAATATATTTTATTTCCTTTATTTGGCACTTTTAATTCACACAGGTTATAACTTGCTCTACGAACTGAGCCGATACTTCACAATCGTAGGTCAAAACACTACAGTCTCGAGACATAAGCAGAAGTCTCGCCCGGTTAGCAATATTGTTTTGTTGAACTTCCTGGAAATAGAATAGACCCAACAAATTATTAGGAATTTTTATTTTATATTCTTATATTTAGACAAATAATATTTTATTCTTCGTTTATTCATAAGTAACAATAATTCAATATAATAATTTAATTAATAAATTATTATATTATATTATATATTATATATTATATTATATTATATTATATTATATTATATTATATTATATTATATTATATTATATTATATTATATTATATTATATTATATTATATTATATTATATTATATTATATTATATTATATTATATTATATTATATTATATTATATTATATTATATTATATTATATTATATTATATTATATATTATATTATATTATATTATATTATATTATATTAGAAAAAAGTTTCTGGTAAATCAAAGAAATTTGTGTATTGTTATAGGGTCAAAGAAAAATTTTTTTGATTGAAAGAAATTATTTCTTTATTTATTTTTTATTGACTCAATGAAATATTTCTTTGATTTTACGAAAGTTTTTATTTGAAAAAAAGAAATAATTGTTTATGTTAATGCACAAATTTCTTTAAATTGAAAATATATTTATTTCCTATTAAGATTGTATATACGTTCGTATTTTAATTAAATTATAGTTTAAAAATATTAAATTCATTAAATATTTTTGAAATACTTGAAATGTATTCCAAAGACATTTAATTAATTTAATGCGCATTTTGACATGTAAAACACTTAACAAACCTTCATGGCAGAATTTTGATCACGAAGAAAACAATCAATACACTGCGAGTCACTATTTACACATTTCACATATCACTTGTAAATACCAAAGACACGAACAATTCATAAACTTCTTTATCACTCATTGTAAGAAAAACTAATAAAACAAAATTTAGCTATTAATACAAAACTTTTTAGACTATAAATATGATTATAATTATCACGCCATGAACACGCTGCCATGAGGCACACACAGCTGTTTACTAATTTACGTATAGTCTGCGCAAACGCAGTCATGGTAACTCAGCGTACTTAAGTTCGAAACAAATATTTCTTTGATTCAAAGAAATTTTTCTTTAGTTTAAAAAAATCATTTAAAGGAAAAATTTGTTTTGATTCAAAACACTCAAAAATGTCTTTTTCGTAAAAGCAAAAGAAAAAAATTTTTAAATCAAACATATTTTATCTTTCATTCAAAAAGTGAGTCTAAAAAAACGATTTCTTTGTTTCAAAGAAATCTTTTCTCTGAGTGTATTATTTACTTATTTATTATTATTTGCTGTCACATCAAATTATGTTATCTAATATAGAGACAGCGAACAAATTTTCAGTGAGGTCAAAAAAGTTTGCTGTGACAGTAAATTTTTAAAAAATTAGAACTGATTTTGTTTATCATAACAAACTTTTTCGTTGTCATAGCAAAAAATTTAGCTGTGCGGTTACTAATTTTGATAGATCTGATAGCAAACATCAGTTAGCATCTGTAAGCAATTTCTTTTTTTCCGTGTAATTATAATTCTTATAAAAAATTGTAGAATAAATTAAATTATAAATAAATATAAATTGTTTTAAAATAATCATAAATTCTACAGATAAAAGATAACATTTAATGAACAATTAAAGTTAAAAAATATTAAAAGTTGTAATTAATTAATTTAAATAATGAATGAGACAATTACTTTAATAAATTTTAATGAAACTTCCTACACGGTGGGTTTATGGTGTCCCTGATCACAAATTTGATGGCATTTTTTTATAACTCAAAATGTCGGATTCAATATGGCGGACGAATTTTAAAAATTCAATTGAATTTACTTCAAACACAGCACTAGGGGGTTATTTGGGTCGCTGATTACGAATTCAATATCAGTTTTTCAAAATTCAAAATGGCGGATCCAATATGTCGGATAAATTTTGAAAAAATCATAGAATTTACTTGAAACACAGCGCTTGGGGATTTTTGGGGTCGCTGATTACGAATCCAATATTAGTTTTTTAAAATTCAAAAATGCAGATCTAATATGGCGAACAAATTTTGTAAAATTCATTAGATTCACTAGAAACTCATTATTCGAATATGTTTTCTTTGGTGCTGAATACGAATATAACACCAATTTTCCAAAATTCAAAATGGCGGACCCAATATGGCGGATGAATTTTGAAAAAATCATCAAATTTACTTAAAATACACAGCACTTAAGGGTTTTTGGTATATAATATCAGTTTTAAAATATTCAAAAACGTCCTACTCAATATGGCTATACCTTTTTGAAAAATTCAGCAGTTTCATTCGAAAATTGATCTCACGTTTTTTTTCGTGTGTATTATAATTAATGCAAAACTGTTGAAAACAAATAAAATTGAATGCCAATTTGAAGGTCTTGATAATTAATAATTCCGACAATCTGCTGGAAGGGTCGATTCAGTGTCGGATTTCGTTTTCTCAGGTTACCTTCGCACGAACAACATATACTAACACAATATAATATATATCCAAGAATGAGGCATATATATATACATATACATATATATAATCTAAACAGTCTCATCGTGATTCTGGCTTCTGCATCGTTATGGGTAAGGTAAGACGTTGACGGACGGCTCTCTTGCGAACGCTTGACGGGAAACACAAATTGTGGGCGCAGCTGTGTGCCGATAGTAATCAAGAAACATGGTAGGTAGCACACAGTCTGAAGTGCTCGCATAATCATTCTCCACGCAATCATGGACAGAAAAGACGCGGAAAGTGACAGGATTGCTATACATCATTGGGGAAAGCCGATACTGATCCCTGATATATGCTTTCCATTCTATCAACTGGTTCAAGATTATACATATATATATATATATATATGTGTGTATAAGGTGTCTTCCAAAAAGCTTTTGCATCAGTTATTTGAGAGGTGACATTTTACTTTCTTTTGAAATTCACATCTTTTCAGCTTTCTTACAATATATAATATAATAGTGATGTGAAATAAAATTTTTTTTTGAAAAAAATACACAATTGTGACTTAGGATGGAGTTACATGTTGCTGTAAATGCAGAATGCAAAACCAAAAATAATGAAAGTGAAAAGGGACAGGGATATATCACTATCCTTTTCACTCTTATTATTTTTGGTTTTACATTCTGCATTTACATCAACATGTAACTCCAACCTTTTTTTCAAATATATTTACACATATATACTGAGAATCATATTTAGGAGTTAAAAAAATGTACTGCGCAGCCGTAAGTGCTATAGAAATGAACTGCGCATCGTTTTAAATTCAGCAAACTTGCGCGGCCTTACACTTAGGTGCTGAGATTTTTATTTCTTACAATTAATACACAGACCGTAAAAAATAAATAAATAAAAGCATCTCACCTCATGTATTTTGGTACCCTAAACACGAATCTGAAGTCAGATTTATTCCATCACGTCAGGATTTTTTCTAACCTCAAAAAACTTGTCAGATTATTCGTACTATACATTTTTTTAAATTAAGAGATTTACATAAAACTTTGTATCTGGGGGTTTTTGCGGTCGCTGATTACGAATCTGATGTCAGATTTGTTTCATTACGTTAGAATTTTTTTCTAAACTCAAAAAAAAAATGAAATCATGTTTTGACCGCAGAAACAGTACTACCAACTTAAATGATGGCGTTAAATTTGAATACTTATAAAATTAATTATTATTCAAAAAAATAATTATTATTTTTACCTAAAAATTACTAAATATTTCTACTGACAAAGAAAATTTTTCTGGTATTGTTAAAATATTCAAAAAAATAATTGTAATTCAAAATCACTTTGGAAATAATGCCAACCAATAAATCTGAAATTCCATCCATAATATTATTGAGTAATTTGAAGTTTCGCGTTTACTCAATTCGATACCCAAAATGAGTATAAATCAATAAAAATGAGCCCAAAATATTTTCTGTGTAACAATTTTTAAAGAAATTAAAATAAACTCTCGTTTAAAAGGTATAAAATTGAATAGACGCATATATTTAATACTCTTAAAGATTTTATGTACGGATTATCGATATTTTATCCGATCATTTATATTCAAATTGTGTATATTTATACATGTGTATGTGAACGCCTTTCTTTTGACATTTACTTCAATATACATCGTTCATTAAACATTTATTTATACAATCACGCTTGATTAGATTGATTCACTGATAATATTGAGCTGTATAACTAGAAAATTATATACATATATATATATATATATATATATATATATATATATATGGTCAATGAAAAGAAAAATTTTTTATTCCCTCGCCAAACCAAATTACAATAAAATGCAATCTCCTGTATATGTATAAATTCTGGCGAGATTTACTTAACCTAAAAAGATAGCAAATACAAAAATATGTGGAAAAAGCATTAAAAAAAAAACCTTGCTATCTTTTCAGGTCAAGACAGTATTTTTTTACAATTTGCAGAGAATTAATTTTTACTTCGTGCGTATAATTATGATTGTATTTTTTAAAAACAATTTATCATATGATTCAGAAAAAATGTATTTCAAATGTTATTTTGTAGATGTTTGTATTTTTGTGTAAAACAAATATTTTAAAAATAAAATTTTTAATTCTCTCGAAATTTTTACATTATTATTTTTGTGAACGTAAAAATATTTATTTTCATTTATTTTTTTTTTTTTTTAAATTAATTCACGTATAATGTAGAACGCGTGTGTGGCATTATAATAAAATGGACAACGTTAGCGAAATAAATAATACTTTTTTTTACTCATTCTCATCGTTTTCATTCTCAATAACTGATAGTGGGCGATGTTTGTCCACAAATGTTCATTCTATGAACGCCTTTTTGTGTGCGGTCAAATATATGTCCATTGTATGAGGGTTGGTATAGGGCTGTTGAATGTCATACATTGTGTGGTCATCAAAATTCCAATTTGCGACATGCATTAAACTGCTGTAGAACATTTGCGGTGGCAAAATTAAATATTGATGTTTACTTTGCTAATATAACACAAAAACCGCAGCGAAACGTATATATGTATATATGTGAAACTGCAAAAATCATTTCAATTCGAAATAATATTTTTAAAGAAAATATTTATTCCCGCAAGCGTTTCATATGAGAATAAACTTCGTATATCAATAACGTTGCGCAACCAAGGTATATTTCATCGGAAAAATATTTTGTTTATAAATAAAATATTTAAATTAAAGGAAAAGATGAAAAAAATTTAAAAACCGTTGCATTAGAAAATAATAACGTTTTGAACAAAAAAATTCTATTTAAGTAATATTAATATTTATTAATATTATCACAAATTTTATTATTTAGATTTAATCTATAAAAAAAAATTTGCTTTTAAAATATAATTATTTAACAATTTCTTCGTATTTATAAAATTTGTAATCAATAAAGCAAATTTGAGGTTAGTTTTCTAGAAAGTAAAATATGGAGGAAAATATAAACATATTAAATTTTGTGCCAACTGTATCAGTTTCTAAATATTGTATATATTAATTAATTTACTATAGTGATATTACATTCAATATTATTATTTTTATAGTTATTATCCTTTTTTTAGTAGTAGGTGTCGTTCATACTGTCAGGGTGTCGATCCCTGTACCTTTTACCCTATCAAGTGTCACACGGTGCACCAGAAGGAGGTTTAAATAAAAATGAATTGACACTTAAAAATTCTTTTTGATTATGGTTCTAAGATGATTAAAAAACTTTTCTCAATAGGCTTTAAAATCAGCTTACGTGCCCAATTTAAAACAAATTGAGTTTTAAATATTTAAAAATAGTATTTTATGAGAAACCAGAATTTATTTAATGTATACTTATATGCGTATAGATAAATTGATGTTTTAAATTTGGGTTCATATAAATTTATTAACAATGAAGTTATTTTCTTGTTTCGTTTTTATATTTATGCATTAAGAGTGTCGAACGGTATCTG